TTCAATAGTTTACCAAAAGACACTTTTTATCTTAGCTTTTTATGATCCACAAAATTTGATAACGTTTCGAGCCTATTTAGGTCTTCCCATACGACTCTGAGTCTTTCGAATTTATTTGCAAAATAAACCATGCTTTGAGATTAAAGATGCAAATGCGTCACATGACGAGGTATTTATGGCGGTATTTATGTCACAATTCCCCTCCCCACGTCTGAAAAAACCGTATAGAAATTTTCTGTACGGATTGCGGATAGAAATTCTATAGGATTTCCGTATATAATATTCGGATATTTCTATACGAATTATTTCAATACATAAATTTTTGTTTGCATTCGAAAGATGCCCAAACGCTCCACAGAAAAACGTAGAGAAATATCGCAACTCCATACGAAATGATTCTATACATGTGACAGTGGGTCGTATAGGATCAAACCTATAGAAATCCTATAGAAATACTTTATATAAAAAATATCCGTATAGAAATATCCGAATATCATATATGAAAATCCTATAGAAATTCTATACGCAATCCGTGTAGAAAATTTCTATACAATTTTTTCATACGTGCGCCCCTCTTCTATGACCGTCATAATTGTCCAAAAAAATATAACAGTCATTTTTTATCTATATAGATGCAAGGAAAAGTTTTGAAAAATGCAAAGTTTTGTTTGATTCTTACTGAACAGTAGACATTTTTGAAAAATACAAAGAAGTGAAGAAAAAGTCAAGTCAGAAATATCAAATAAATGGCCATAGGGCACAATCAGATGTCTATAAGAAAAATATTTCTAAATCGAATAAGGATTGGAGAAAAATTCTCTATGAAATAAAAATGACGCTGAAGTTAGCAGCCGACTTGGCAGCAGAACAGGGGCGTATCATGATCCCCTGGGGCCCAGTGCACACATGATTCAAAAACCGGGGTAAAAATCAATTATCGACATCGGAAAATGTTCAGACGCTACCCCTCTGCATTCATGAAGATTCTTACCCCTCTGGAACCATTACTTGTTGATGTTTGAGGGGTGCAAAAATTGATTTTCCTTGAAGTGAAAGAAAAAAAAATTGTTGGCTCCAAAACACTCAAAACCACCAACAAATTTCCATTGAAAGATATTAGGAAAGACTCCCTCAACCCCCAGAAAAATAATCAAGTCTTTCAGAGTGGTCCAAGGAAGTGCTAGGAGGTGAAAAAATGGAATTTTCGCGTATTTCAGGGGGAAAAAAAATCTCCAACTAATAATAAGCAAAACCACCAACAAACATTGATGAGAAAATATTCAGCGCAACTCCCTCAACCCCCAGAAAAATCATCAAGTCTCTCAGGCTGGTCCAAGGAGGTGCTAGGGGGTAGACAAATGAAATTTTCGCGTTTTTCGGGGGGGAAAAAAAAATCTCCGACTAATAATATGCAAAACCACCAACAACTGTTGATGGGAAAATACTCAGTGCAACTCCCCCTACCCCCAGATTTATTTTTCTACCCCCTAGCACCCCCTTGGACCAGCCTGAGAGACTTGATGATTTTTCTGGGGGCAGGGGGAGTTGCACTGAGTATTTTCCCATCAACAGTTGTTGGTGGTTTTGCTTATTATGAGTCGGAGATTTTTTTTTCCCCCCCGACAAACGCGAAAATTTCATTTGTCTACCCCCTAGCACCCCCTTGGACCAGCCTGAGAGACTTGATGATTTTTCTGGGGGCAGGGGGAGTTGCACTGAGTATTTTCCCATCAACAGTTGTTGGTGGTTTTGCTTATTATGAGTCGGAGATTTTTTTTTCCCCCCCGACAAACGCGAAAATTTCATTTGTCTACCCCCTAGCACCCCCTTGGACCAGCCTGAGAGACTTGATGATTTTTCTGGGGGCAGGGGGAGTTGCACTGAGTATTTTCCCATCAACAGTTGTTGGTGGTTTTGCTTATTATGAGTCGGAGATTTTTTTTTCCCCCCCGACAAACGCGAAAATTTCATTTGTCTACCCCCTAGCACCCCCTTGGACCAGCCTGAGAGACTTGATGATTTTTCTGGGGGCAGGGGGAGTTGCACTGAGTATTTTCCCATCAACAGTTGTTGGTGGTTTTGCTTATTATGAGTCGGAGATTTTTTTTTCCCCCCCGACAAACGCGAAAATTTCATTTGTCTACCCCCTAGCACCCCCTTGGACCAGCCTGAGAGACTTGATGATTTTTCTGGGGGCAGGGGGAGTTGCACTGAGTATTTTCCCATCAACAGTTGTTGGTGGTTTTGCTTATTATGAGTCGGAGATTTTTTTTTCCCCCCCGACAAACGCGAAAATTTCATTTGTCTACCCCCTAGCACCCCCTTGGACCAGCCTGAGAGACTTGATGATTTTTCTGGGGGCAGGGGGAGTTGCACTGAGTATTTTCCCATCAACAGTTGTTGGTGGTTTTGCTTATTATGAGTCGGAGATTTTTTTTTCCCCCCCGACAAACGCGAAAATTTCATTTGTCTACCCCCTAGCACCCCCTTGGACCAGCCTGAGAGACTTGATGATTTTTCTGGGGGCAGGGGGAGTTGCACTGAGTATTTTCCCATCAACAGTTGTTGGTGGTTTTGCTTATTATGAGTCGGAGATTTTTTTTTCCCCCCCGACAAACGCGAAAATTTCATTTGTCTACCCCCTAGCACCCCCTTGGACCAGCCTGAGAGACTTGATGATTTTTCTGGGGGCAGGGGGAGTTGCACTGAGTATTTTCCCATCAACAGTTGTTGGTGGTTTTGCTTATTATGAGTCGGAGATTTTTTTTTCCCCCCCGACAAACGCGAAAATTTCATTTGTCTACCCCCTAGCACCCCCTTGGACCAGCCTGAGAGACTTGATGATTTTTCTGGGGGCAGGGGGAGTTGCACTGAGTATTTTCCCATCAACAGTTGTTGGTGGTTTTGCTTATTATGAGTCGGAGATTTTTTTTTCCCCCCCGACAAACGCGAAAATTTCATTTGTCTACCCCCTAGCACCCCCTTGGACCAGCCTGAGAGACTTGATGATTTTTCTGGGGGCAGGGGGAGTTGCACTGAGTATTTTCCCATCAACAGTTGTTGGTGGTTTTGCTTATTATGAGTCGGAGATTTTTTTTTCCCCCCCGACAAACGCGAAAATTTCATTTGTCTACCCCCTAGCACCCCCTTGGACCAGCCTGAGAGACTTGATGATTTTTCTGGGGGCAGGGGGAGTTGCACTGAGTATTTTCCCATCAACAGTTGTTGGTGGTTTTGCTTATTATGAGTCGGAGATTTTTTTTTCCCCCCCGACAAACGCGAAAATTTCATTTGTCTACCCCCTAGCACCCCCTTGGACCAGCCTGAGAGACTTGATGATTTTTCTGGGGGCAGGGGGAGTTGCACTGAGTATTTTCCCATCAACAGTTGTTGGTGGTTTTGCTTATTATGAGTCGGAGATTTTTTTTTCCCCCCCGACAAACGCGAAAATTTCATTTGTCTACCCCCTAGCACCCCCTTGGACCAGCCTGAGAGACTTGATGATTTTTCTGGGGGCAGGGGGAGTTGCACTGAGTATTTTCCCATCAACAGTTGTTGGTGGTTTTGCTTATTATGAGTCGGAGATTTTTTTTTCCCCCCCGACAAACGCGAAAATTTCATTTGTCTACCCCCTAGCACCCCCTTGGACCAGCCTGAGAGACTTGATGATTTTTCTGGGGGCAGGGGGAGTTGCACTGAGTATTTTCCCATCAACAGTTGTTGGTGGTTTTGCTTATTATGAGTCGGAGATTTTTTTTTCCCCCCCGACAAACGCGAAAATTTCATTTGTCTACCCCCTAGCACCCCCTTGGACCAGCCTGAGAGACTTGATGATTTTTCTGGGGGCAGGGGGAGTTGCACTGAGTATTTTCCCATCAACAGTTGTTGGTGGTTTTGCTTATTATGAGTCGGAGATTTTTTTTTCCCCCCCGACAAACGCGAAAATTTCATTTGTCTACCCCCTAGCACCCCCTTGGACCAGCCTGAGAGACTTGATGATTTTTCTGGGGGCAGGGGGAGTTGCACTGAGTATTTTCCCATCAACAGTTGTTGGTGGTTTTGCTTATTATGAGTCGGAGAATTTTTTTCCCCCTGAAAAACGCGAAGATTTCATTTCTCCACCCCCTAGGACCCCCTTGGACCAATCTGAAAGACTTGATCATTTTCCTGGGGGTTGAGGGTGTTTCGTTTAATCTTTTTTTATAACAATGTGCTGGTGGTTCTGGCTATTTATGGTGCAGAAATTTTTTCTTCCAAAAAAAAAGACAAAAATTGAGATTTTCATCTCCCTACCACCCCCTTGGCCTGAACAAAGGGGGTTGATCATATTGTGGAGAATGGGGAGGCTGTTCCAGATCATTTCGGAATTTAGAACTTAAATAGGAACAATTTTCAGTTTTCGTATTAAGGTATGGGGCCCCACAGATCCTTGCTACGGCCCTGAACTTTCGCTGCCAAGTCGGCTGCTAACTTCAGCGTCATAAATAAAAAATGTACTACTTGAACAAAACTTCTCCTTGGCGCAGTTTTCTTGCAGAAATATTTGCTTTTGTTTTTTAAAGAGTTCTTCTCTTCTGAAACTTATCTCTTGTCCCATCGCAAAACTATCCCTTAAATCTCTGAAATCAATGGATCCCAAAAAGTAAGACGAATTCATCTGAAAAATTTTCAAGCCTCCAAAAAATAGATTCACCAGATAACCAATACCCGACTGGCCGTCTTCCATTGTGTACCGTTGACCTATCGAAGGACAAATAAAACATGGCTTTCATGTCCCCGCTTGACGTCAGCTACGTCCGCCCTATCTCTGTCAAAGCGATGCCTTCCCCCTGGGGCTTGTAAAGTACCCTGTGGATCTTCACACAACTTGAACCTCAAAACTGTGATGGATATAATAACACAAACGAGGAACGACACGAGCAAGTGAAAAAAAGGAGTCAAAGGGAGAATGAAGTAAAGGAGAAGGCGTTCCCAGGAAACTGGGTATAATGGATACTCACGCTCTTGCTGTGGCTCGTGTTATGATGATGGTGGGTGTGATGAGTATCTAACTTCATGTTTGCGCAACGATTGAGTGCGTGAAGTCTACGGTAGAGACTTTGAAGTGAATCAGCTTCGAGAAATGGATGGTCTTTGGCCACTCCTGATACTTCAAGTGGGAATTGACAATCTGTAAACATAAAAGAAAACAAGGAAATTTACTTGAGAGTTATTAATGATTCTGACTAACATTTTTGGCGTCTTTTCCACGGAGAACAACAGCTTCTCGTATTCAGAACGGACTTAATAATTTGAAAAAAATCATGATTCTAGAAGGTATTGTATTGAGAATCCCTGAACGTCAGTATCAAAAACCTACAGGAAGAAAACAAGTGGAAAATTACTCTTGTATTGTATATAGTATAGTTATTTTTGCTAATAAATTAGCAATATGCTTCCGAAGGATTATTTTGCACATAATTTCTTTCATCATGTATTTTTTTATATTAAAGCATTCAAACCAGCAGGTTTACTCTACTATATGAAAATGTTATACAAATTTTTTTCAGTAGTATTACCTCAAGAGCTTCAAAATTATCGGGTATTTCCCGACAGCTTCGTTGCAAACAAATGAGGGTGTCAAGTTTTGCAGATTAAAAAATCTCGAGCGCTTGTGCGAGGGATTTTTCTGCAAAACTTAGCACAATGGTTTGTTTGCAGGGGAGCTTGAGGGAAATGCCCGATTAATTTTGAATCTCGAGGGGTATTTGTCGGACAATTTCCTCAATTCTGATTTTGACCAATCAAAGTGCAGTATTCGGAGACACGAGACTGCAGGGAAATTATCAGTCTGATAATTTCCCTGTAGCCTATCAATTGTTTTCTACGAATTTGACAGATATTCCTCACATTTTCGTGAGATGTGTCCCGTAACCCCGAACACTGCACCCTGATCGGCCTAAATCAGAATTGAAGAAATTGTCCTCCGAATACCCCTCGACCTTCAAAATTCATCGGATATTTCCCTCAAGTTTTCCTGCATATCAACGATCGGGATCAGCTTTGCAGTAAAATCCCTCGCGCTACGCGCTCGGGATTTTAAACTGCAAAACTGATCTCTCTCGTTGCTATGCAACAAAACATTCGGGAAATATCCGATAATTTTAAAGGTCTTGGGGTATTATGGCTGATTATTTTTCCCAATTCAATGTTGGCCAAGCAGAGTGCAGTGGACTAAATCAGGAGGTGAATTGGGGAAGATTTGAACAAATTATGTTAATAGAATAACGCGATTTCCATAGACTGTCAAATATAAGATTCTATCTGAAATGAGCCGAAAAAATGAAGAGCTACGACGAAATATTCAGGTAAAAAAAATTGAGAACTACTGCGAAATATTCAAAAGCTAAGAGAAAATATCCGAAATAAGACTGTCGGGTAGCCTCAAATACTGCGCTCTGATTGGTCGAAATCCGATTGGGAAAAATAATCATCGATATTTATAGGTTTCTTCTACTTAGATATTAATATTATTAACTTTCAAGCATAAATCTATAATCATCAGGGCTCACACGTTCGGTGTGCTGAGAAAGACTTTGACATCATATGGAGAGTATATTTTTTCTTGTTAAAGTTTGTCCAACAATTCAGGACGTTGGTCAGCATATCGGATACATTGCCAACGTACGTGATTTAAATCTTCCTCAGCATGACCGCACTCACACAAGGAGGAATCAATTACCTTAATTTTGAATAATGGACTTCTATGGTAATTTGCTAACTATGGTAATTTGCTCCAGTACGATTAATCCACGTTATGGTTTTTCTACGAAGATTATGTTTAGTGAACCAAGGTTTTTTTTGTTGATGGTCCCACTGAAAATACTCTTTGTCTAGTTCTTTTTGTTCTTTATTGTATCTAACGTCGTGTATCTTTTGATCGGTCTTGTATCATGTATAACTTATCGTTTATTTCATTTCATTAAATTGAATGAGATTTCCTTGTAGCTAATTTTGTCAGATGTTCAAATTAGTTGAATGTTATAAGCATCATTATTCTTATTATCCCTTTTCTTCTACACAACTGATAATCTTTTTTATAATAGTATCTCTCTCCTCAGTCCTTCCATAAAATGTTAATAGAAAAATTTTATTTACACATACTTCAACGAATTTGAGACATCACATTTGAAGAAACCATCAGAAAGTTCACATTCAGGGAAATTCATGAAAAATTCAAAATATTCGACAATCAAATATTTTAAGCTATGATTGAATTTATTTAAAACATGATATCCATAGATATCCTTGGAATTCTGATTTTCAAAAAATACAAAATTTTCGAATAAATCAAAACAACGATTATTGCTATCGCCTTTATCTTCAAACTCGGTCAAAGGGACATACAGGGTGACAATTAGGAAGTTGCCTAAACTAATCGTTTATAACTTTGAAATGAGTGCCAGGAAAAAAAAAAGAAAAATACATATGAATTGAGTAAAGATGTCATTTTTATTTGGAATTCGTTTCAGTCGAATTAGACACTTCTAATAGATACTTATTGAGATTTGAAAAACATTGACAAATTGAGCCAGGAGATAACTATTAATGGTAAATATTTTCAAAGTGATCTTCAATCGAATTTGCATAAAAATCAAGCCGTTTTCGGAAACTATGAAAAACTTGTTCAATCTGAGATGGAGAAATACCAGAAATTCGGTCTCTGATGGCTTTTTTCAAATCATCTTTGGTCTCAGGTCTTTCCCCATAAACATTATCTTTCAGGAAGCCCCATAAGAAAAAGTCACACGGGTTCAAATCGGGTGAATAAGGGGGCCATTCCATACCTCCATGCGCAAACTTGGGGTTTCCTAATCCGATGACGCGATCACAATACACTTCATAAATAGCTTCCAATACGTCCTTAGTTCTATGCGGTGTAGCACCATCTTGCATAAAATAATAGTTCTTAACCAATCCTCTTCTTTTAGCCAAAGGGAAAAATTTAGTTTGTAGCATTTCTCGATAACTATTGCCTGTAATGGTCCCTTCTATGAATTCCAAGTGTATTGTTTTAATTGAAATAGCTGCCCAAACAGTCACTTTAACAGGGTGTAAAGACTTTGCCTCAGATGAGTGTGGATTTTCGCGACCCCAAAAATGGTAATTTTGTTTATTTACATATCCATTTAAATAAAAGTGAGCTTCGTCTGTGAAGATTGTGTGATTGATGTCGATCTAATCATTTTCAAATTTCTGTGTCATTATTTTACAAAACTCAATTCTTTTGTTTTTGGAATCTTCTGTGAGCAAATGATGGGTCGTAATTTTGTAAGGGTATAACTTGAGGAAATTCTTCAATATTAATCTCAGTGTCTCTCGGTTCAGTTTCAAAGCTACCGTAGCTTTTCGTATCGAATCCGTTGGATTATTCTTGAAATGTTCTTCGATCTTGGCAATCGTATCTTCTGTCGTAACTGAGTGTGATGGAGGAAGATCATGACGACGGTCCTCAAGAGTATAATACTTGAGGAAATTATCAATTACTCTGGGAGAAAAAGTAATAAATACTTGAAAGTTTTAGTCAAAAGTGAGGTTATACGATGAAGTCAGATAAATTTGTTTTTATTCTCACCTGAGGGTGTTTTGATTGGCTACTTTTTTACTTCCAAATTTGGTACGAAAGCCTCTATATGCTTCAGTATAGTTTTTACCTCTAGTATAAAAGCACTCGATAAGATATACTTTTTCATCGTTTGTAAGGTTACTCATTTTGAAGTACACGTAGTGCTTCTTGTAGCGTCTCAATAGAAACTGACAACACTTCTAGTATATATTGTTACGGAAATGGAAGCTTTATTAAGAATCTCTTCCCTCTCGAGTGCAGTGTGAATGTGGTTGTTAGACAAAATGAATCTTTGAGAGTGACATGTTATTATTACTGGATTTTGTCGAGAAATTTTAGCCTGCTTGATTTGATATATCTGTAAACCCTGTACAAATAAATAACGCCCATAAAACCTCTCCTATTAAACGTCTAATCCTTGCTGTAATACAACAATATGTAATGGACCTAACTTTCCGGGTCTCAGTAGGAAGGGAAGACATGTGGGTATACTTAAGGCAATTTCTCATTTATCACCCTGTAAAAATAAATTTTGTAAGCCATCATTCAATCAATTCGGAACATTTTTTTTAGTTATCGTGGGATAACTGATTTTCGAAAAAATTAAAAAATCTTATCGATGAATTAAATTTTAATTAATGGCGATTGATAGGGCTTAACAATACCTACATTTGAAACAAAAATCTTGTGCTAGCACGGGAATTTTTCTATACAGGTTCTCTCCGTGTACCGTAGCTGCAGTAAAGCAAAATTAGATAGGTTTGCAGTACTGTTACTGCGACTACCTTGATTGCGAAACGGACTCGTAACGTCAGAGCAAAATATTAGATTTTTTTATAGCGCGTAAAATGTGCCCAAGGAAATGTTTCAAACGGGTCTCCCATTTTCCCCAAAATGACTCATCAAAATATAACAGGAGTATAATGAAAACTCATCTGATCAAATGCTGAACGAACTTTTTCATAATTTTTTCAGAAAAATGACGTGACGCCAGGATAATTTTCTGTTCAACCGAATGTGAAAAGTGATCATGTCATTCCAGAATAATTTCGGAACATTACGTAAATTTGAGACTCATCAATTCTGGCTTTGAATATGAAATTGAGCTAGTCACTTTCCAAAGAGGATCCAATGAATTTCTATTCATGAAACATAATATTCTCTTCCATCGATTAAATCGAAAATTATGACATCATAGAGAGATAATCCACGTCATCGTCTACTTTCACATCAATAGACGGCTAAAATTTCCGTCGTTAGAATTGTGTCATCAAGGACAGGATATAGTTACCCAACGTTAGCTGAGTGAATATATTATCAACAGTTTGAATACAGTTCGGGAATACTATACATGCTCTGAATTAACATCTCGTCTCATCAAGATTATTTCTTGCGGAACGAAAGGGTATTTTTTAATGAAAACGGAATAGCTATTGATAAAATATCAAACATCTGTTTTTTTCATTGATATCAATCGATTGCACAATAATACTACATAAAAAAATGAGATTCTCAATAAAAATATAAATAGGATGATTGCTTCCAAACGGAAGTCCTGTATTTGA